AATGAAACACAGAAGAAGTGGGACGTGTCGAAGGCTTGTGTTTTCAGAGAGAGGCCTGGGAAGGCCTTACTCAGTGGGTGCCGGCCGAGTCAAGACCTGCAGGAAACAAGGGAAGGAGCAAGAGCATTTCTGGGGGAGGAGCAGCAAGGCGGGCAGGGGCCGGGTGGGACCAGGATGGGCCGAGCTGGACGTGCTGCCCGCCCCTCTCCGCAGGCCATCCTGCCCCTGATGAAGTTCCTGGAGGTGGAGCTCTGCTACATGAACACCAACCTGGTGCAGGAGAACTTCAGCAGGTCCGCAGCAGCGCTGCCCCCGGCGCCCACACTCACCCCTGCCCCACCTGCCCCCCTTTCCTGCCTCCGCATCGTTCCCAGGGGAGGAGGCCACCAGCCTCTGCTTTAGTGCTTGCTCTAGGGACAGGGAGCTCACTTCCTGATGTCCTTTCTCCATGAGCCCCGGGCCATCCGGCCTGGCAGACTGCCCCCCTTAATGTCATGGGCAGCTGGCATTCCTCTCCCATGATTCAGGGGCAGTGGGGGATGAGGTCAAGGGCGTGGGGTCTGGACAAGCTGGATTCAGCCTTCAGCTTCGCCGCTGCTGGAGGATGCTCTTGAGTGGATTACTGTATAGTCTTCTGTGTAGATGATCGTAGTTCTGGCCTCTATTAAGGACTAAATGAGTCACTGAAGTGCTGAGAGCAGAGCCTGTACAAAGGAAGGGGTCAGTGATGATGGTGATGGTGCCAGATCCTCCAGGCGGTTGCAGGCCCTGCCCCCTGCTCCACTCCTAGTGATGGGGGCTGGGGGGCGCAAGAGCACACTTTTTAAAAAATATATATATATATGCTGTTATTGATTTCAGAGAGGAAGGGAGAGAGAGAAACATCAATGATGAGAAAGAATCATTGATAGGCTGCCCCCTGCATGCCCCCACTGGGGATTGAGCCTGCAACCCAGGCATGTGCCCTGACCAGAATTGAACCTGGGATCCTTCAGTCTGCAGGCTGATGCTCTATCCACTAAGCCAAACCAGCTAGGCCAGAAGCCCACCTTCTTTATTTCTTAAGCCATAGAATGCCAGTTTTGAGCTTTGATTTTCACCTAAAACGGAATTTAATCTCCACCAAGATAGGAGCTTTACTCTCCACTGTCTCAAAAGCCCTTAGAAGTGTTTGGTGCACGAGTGTGTGACCAAGTTAGCTACTTGGAATGTAGACCTCCTCACTCTCCACTGCACGTTTTCGTACTTAACCGCCTGGCTCCACTTTGACACGTGAGAGTTCAGCTATTTCAGGTGGTTATTGGGCCTGTGGCTTGGCTACTACCTTTTCCTCCCAACCGCTAGCAGATGCTTCTCCATGCGGCGGGCTGAAATCCTATTCGTTTTGGCCACTGCCATCTTGATCCACGATCAGTCATGGGGAGCAGCCTCCCCGCCCCTTGTTTGTTGGGGGTTGATAATCCTGAGGAGGCTTCTGCACGAGGTTGGGAGACATGCTGGGTAGGACTGGCCCAACTGCCCGCCCCCTGCCCTCAGGAGGCCAGCCCTCACTCCCTAGCTCCCTGCCAGGGCCCTGGCCCCAGTGTCACCTGTGAAGCAGGTGGGGGGTGAGGTGAGGAGGAGCTGTGGATGGGCCTGGGTCCCATGAGGTCCTTTCTCAAAAGCATCTCTGCTTCCCCCTCTTCGTCTTTCTGTCCTGTGTCTGGCATCCCGCGGCCCCTCACCCAGCCTTTTGACCCTGCTCTGGACCCACACGCTCACGGTGCTGGTGGAGGTGGCCACCGCCCAGCGGAGCTGCCCCCTGGCCTCTAGGAGGCTGAAGATTGCGCTGCAGGTAAGAATCCAGTGACGCAATGATATCCCTGTTGGTGTGCGCGGGGTCACCTCTGATGTGTCTGCTCATCCTCTAGAACCTGGAGATCTGCTTCTATGCCGAGGGCTGTGGTCTGCCGCCCGAGGCTCTGCACACGGCCACCTTCAAGGTACGGGCCTTTCGTGGGTCTGGGGTGGGGGGAGGCGGCCCTCCTGTGCTCACCTGTGTCCAGGAGAGCTACATAACCACAGTACCTAGCACCAAATGAAAACGTGGGCCCGTTTAGCTCTGGCTGGTGTGGCTCAGTGGGTAGAGCCTCAGACTGAAGGATCCCGGGTTCGATTCCGGTCAAGGGCATGTACCTCGGTTGCAATCCCTGGACCTGGGTCACGGTGCGTGCAGGAGGCAACCAATCGATGTGTCTCTCTCACATGGATGTTTCCCCCTCTCTGTCTCTCCCTTTCTTCCACTCTCTCTAAAAATCAATGGGAAAATCTCCTGGGGTGAGGATTAACAAAACAACAAAAAAACCGTGGGCCTCATTTTCCAAAAAAAGGAAACAGCAGCAGCAGAACATTAAGCCAGGCGTGAGGGTCTGAGCATGTGGAGGGGGTGCTAGGGTGGCTCGCCCCTCTGCCAGGCAATCCTGAGGGTGTGTCCCGGCCAGCGGTCCCGGCGCCCAGAGCTTTCCATGTCAGATTAACGTCGCCCTCTGGGCTGCGAGCTCCCGGAGGGCAGCGCTGGGCCGAGGCGGAGGGTGACAGTGCAGGTGACTTCTGGGCTGGCCCGTTCACAGGACCTGCAGAGGGACTTGGAGCTGCAGGCGGCCTCCAGCCGCGAGCTCATCAGGAGGTACTTCAGCAGCCGCCTGGAGCAGCAGGTGAGGGAGGCCCCTCCACCTGGCGCCCCGGCCCGTCCCCGCCCGCCCCCGCCCCCGCCCCCGCTGACGCGCACGTGCCCCGCCCCTAGGCCGAAACCACCACCGAGGAGCTCGGGGCCGTGACCATCAAGGCTTCCTACCGCGCCTCCGAGCAGAAGCTGCGCGTGGAGCTGCTCAGCGCCTCCAACCTGCTGCCCCTGGACGCCAACGGTGAGTGCAGGCTGCCCGCTGGCCACGCCGGGTCCCGGGGGCTCTGCTCGCCCAGCGGGAGCACTGGGTGCACTTCCTCCGGATGACCGGGAGGGGGCAGTGCTGCCGAGCAGGGCACAGCCGCAGAGAGTGGAGGCTGGACAGGGGGCTGGGATATCCTTGGCCATTGTAACCACCCGACCCCCGCCACTTGCCAGGCTCCAGCGACCCTTTTGTCCAGCTGACCTTGGAGCCCAGGCACGAATTCCCCGAGCTGGCTCCCCGGGAGACCCAAAAGCACAAGAAGGACCTTCACCCGCTGTTCGATGAGACCTTTGAATTGTGAGTGGGTCCCACGCTCGCAGCGCTAACCCAGCCCTGGACCAGCTCCCGCTGACTGGGCCCAAGGGGCTCCCCTGAGGTGACCTCGTTTGGGTCCGTGGGAAGGGCACCTGGGACAAGGGTTTGCTGGCATCAGTCCCCAGCCTGCTCCCCGGGAGGGGCAAGGCTGCTGGGGGAGACTCCCCGTGTCACTTCCAGGGAAGGGTCCTGACCTGAAGTCCTCTGTTGCCCAACACCAGCGACGTCCCCTGGTTTAAAGCATCGGCCCAGTCAGAGCATCAGACCATGTGGCCTTTGCAATCCCTCCCTCCCCCCAATCTGGGCGTCTTCCTCCCAGTCCTGGCCTGTCCCCAGGACCAGGAGGTGAGCCCATGAGTGGGGGTGGGTGGAGTGGCAGTGTGTGGGGCGGGCAGCTGAGCCCAACTCTGCCCCCCCACCCAGCCTGGTGCCTGCTGAGCCGTGCCAGAAGGACGGGGCGTGCCTCCTGCTCACGGTGCTGGACCACGACACGCTGGGGGCCGACGACCTGGAAGGGGAGGCCTTCCTGCCTCTGCGCTCGGTGCACGGCCTGCACGGGACTGAGGAGCCCGGGGAGGTGCCGCAGACACGCCTGCCCCTCACCTACCCCACGCCCAACGGTAGGCCTGAGCCCAGTGCTGGGGGTGCAGGGGAGGGGCAGCCTGTCAAGGCTCAGACTGAGGCCCCCGGAGGGGAAGCCATTGGAGCCAGCGTGGTGGCTGATGTTGCTGAGACCTCTGGGTCAATCAAGAAGCCAGCGTAACTGACGCCAGGCCAAGTGTAGTGACTCTGGTGGGGGAAGGTCACCACATTTACCTGGGGAGGCCCATCTTGCTAACAGGAGGTCACCTTTGTGCACGTATGGGCCAGTTCTACTTCCTTGACATATATTAACTTTTTCAATCCGTACCACCACCCAATGAGGCAGATACTATTATTGCTATTTTATAGACAAGTAAACTGAGGCACAGAGGTTAGCTAGCCTGAGGTCCTCATATTAGAAGGTAACAGTCGCCTGCTGTCCCCTGCACTACCCAGGCACTGCCCCCCCCAACCTAACCCCCAAACGCCTCTCTTCACAGGGGACCCAGTCCTGCGGCTGCTGGAGAGCAGGAAGGGGGATCGTGAGGCCCAGGCGTTTGTGAAGCTGCGGCGGCAGCGAGCCAAGCAGGCCTCCCAGCATGCCCCACAGCCTGGGAGATAGCGTGGAGGTTGGGCCCCTGGTAGGGACAGGCTTTCCTGGGAGGTCTGGGTTGTCCCCACCGCAGTGCAGCCCTCCGGCCTGGCTTAACACTCAGAAGGGCTCTGCCAGGCTGGAAGGCCGAGTGCAGACCCCTCTGGTCTCCTGCCAGAGCAGGGCCCACGGTGCTGGGGACACCACCAGCAGTATTTATACTACCCCCCCCCCCCCCCGCCTCAGCCTTGGCTCAGCATTCTCTGCCAAATCCCAGCACCAGGGGTGGGGAGGCGGCTGTGCATCTCCTGCCCCTGCTCCTTTGGGAAGTGCTGGCAAAGCAGGGGCTCAGCCATCTGTCCCCCCGGAAACCTATTCCAGCCACTGGGTGTGGGGGGGTAGGCTCCCTTGGGCCTCTTCTTCAGCACCCCCACTCAGACTCATTGGGGCCAGGGCTGTGGGCAAAACTGCCCTGGGGGCTGGTAGCCATAATGAAGGAGCCCAGGTCCCCTCCTGACGGGGCTGCCAACACCCAGGCTACGAAGCCTGGAGCCAGGGACCCGGCTCTGCCAGGAGAGAGCTGGCAGGCAGGGGGGCTGCCACGGAGGGCGGAAGCAGAAGGGACAGCTTGGCTAACCATATCTACTGAGGACATCTCATCCCCGAGCCAGTACTGGCCACCTAAAAATGTTCTTAGCAAAAATAAAAAAATCGCAATCCATCGTCCTTAGAAAACATGCTGTTGGCCTACAGTGGGGCCCGGGTGTCAGGTCATACAAACCCCCGCCCAGCCTGCAGGACACCTTGGGCTGCCCCCACCCCGGGGCTTGGCCCACCCTTCTCCCCCACGTCACAGGCAGGGAGCGAGTGTGGGGCAACTGGTATCACTGATATTTGGGCCAAGAGCTTTGAACAGAACACTACCAGGCACACCCATTTCTGTGGTCCTGCCCCGCACAGGGGCCGGGAACTCCAGGGGGAGCACCGGGAGCGGGGAGCCTCCCGGGGCTGAGCGGCTGCTCTGCACAGCAGGGCTTAGAGGAGCGGGTCCCAGCCCTGCCGGGGCAGTGGCCTATGTGCTGGGAGGCAGCGCCTGAGGCCCGGTTGTCATTCTAGCTGCATGACCCTCGTCAGTCCCTTACCCTCTGTGAGCCTGCACAAGGGTGTCGTGGGAGGTCTGAGATCGCTCCACAGCCCTCTTCAGCTTTGAACTTCTGAGGCCACACAGAGAGGAGCCCCTCAGCTGTTTTCTCACACCCACCTACCAGGCCAGCTGAGAGCAGGGGAGGGAGGCAGTGGTTCAGAGGCTGGGACTCGGCCCTCAGGGGGCAGGGTGGAGGGCGGGACATCTTCTCTGGGCCTGCCTTTCTCTTCATGTTTTTATGAGAAGCCCTGGTTTCCTCCGAGAAACCACTAGGGCCCTGTGTCCTTTGGGAAACAAATAAACCAGTGGCAGCTGTCCATCGAGCCCTAAAGAGGAGTCGTAGGGCCAGGAGGTCTCTGTCTGGGCTCAGGGTCCCCACAGCAACCACAGAGGCCTGGGAGCCCTTGGACCTCTGCAGGCGCCCAGCCTCAGCTGGGGGGGGGGGTGAGGGGGGTGGGGGGAATAGCTGGGGTACAAGCTGTTTCCTCAGCTGGGGCAGAGCTCCCAGCCCAGGTGGGGGCCAGGGCCCTGGCAGGCACAGCTGAGCTGGCCCACCCCCTCGTCCAGGGGCCCTCAGCTGGGGCCGAACTGCCCTCGCCCCATGCAAACAAGCTACCATTGCAAGTTCATATTTTATGGTGGATTCGTTTGGAGCTTTGTTGATTTTTGCATTTTTGTAAAAAAAGAAAGTTTTCACTTAATTCATTGAAAGCCCTTTCGTGCTGAGCACAAGGGGGGCTGGGGCCCGAGCCCTGCGGCGCTCTTGCTCCCACCCCAGACACCCAGCGCCGGCAGCGGGTGGCTGCCCTGCGCCACTCCGCCCTCCACCCGCTGCATCTGTCTGTACAGAACAATTTTAAAATGGAAGCTAAGACACACTATACATCGGACAGGCACGCACACACATGCACACGGGCGTCCGGCCGAACCGGCAGGACGTCAGCTGCACTCAGAGAGCACCAAGGAATGCATTCGGAGCCCCTCCTGGCGGAGGGAGGGCAGGGCCTGAGCCCCCTGGTCCTCAGTCCGCAGCCATCAGGGGGGACAGCTGAAGGCAGCAGGGGGTGACGGAGAGGGCAGTGCCAGCCTGGTGGGTGGCCCTGGGGCCAGGGAGGCTGCTCTGGGGACGGGGGAGGACTGAGGCAGACCCCCTGCCTCAGGAACCTGAGGGGTCCAACTCCCAGGCCTTGACCCTCGAGGGCTTCAAGGGCCTGGGGTTGGGAGCGGGGCTACTTGGGCCTGCCAGCCCCCAACTAAATATGCATTTGGTAAACCCAGGAGCCAGGCTGGCCTGGACCCCAGCACTCCCCTCAGGCCTCACAGCCAGAAGCAGGTCTACCTGGGCCTCCAAGCCCCTGGCCCTGGCCTAGGAGGTGGGGGACCAGGGCCTGCCCTGAAGGCCTCTCCTCTCCCCTCGGCCCCTTCTAGCTTCCCACCTCCCCTGCTCAGGCCCCAGGAAAAGTTAAAAATAGTTAGTCCTGCATATAAAAGAGACAAACGAACTCCCTGCCGGAAGGCGGCAGAGAAGAGGGAGGGGGAGGTGGGAGTGGGCAGGGGAGGACTGCAAAATAGTTTCTTCTTTTAAAAAGTGCTTGGTAAGTCTGTTTTAAAGTGTGTGTCTATATCTACACACAGATATACACACAGACACTGTCACACTGCTCGCCCACGCATACCTGCACACGCACGGAGATGTATACATATACATAATCATATACATATACATACATACATACATACATACATATATATATATATATATATACTTTAAAAAGTCCTAGGTGGGAAGATGTGAGCCAGGCCGGGGCCGGGCCTGCAGGGTCACGACTGGAGGGCGTGGGCCCGGCCTGGCTGGCAGACGGGGCACTCGCTGCCCTCGGCACACAGCTCGCACAGCACGGCATGTTGGCACGGCAGCACCGCTCGGTTCTGCTCCTGACACTTAAGGCATTTCACCGACTGCATGTGGAACACGGCCTGCGGGGAAAGGGACATCGTGGTCACTGGCCTGGCCTTGGGTCAGTAAACTGAGGCACAGTGCTCAAGAGGCATGTGTGCAGGCCCTGGCTGACAAGTCAGGGTCAGGGTCAGGGTCAGGCCGATCACATCATCTCAAGACTCCAAATTTCCGCTTTGGCTGTGGGCTCAGTGGGGGAGTCGGAGCCCGGGGGAGGGAGGGCCAGGCTGCTCTGCGGCCCCATCCCGAGGGCTTTTCCTCGCACTGATATTGCAGTGACCCTAGGTCCCCAAACGAGGACAACGGGGCCTGGAGAGGGCAGACAGCCCTGAGGGGGCATGGCCACCTGTGAGTGTCTGCTGTTCTCCAGGACCCCCAGCCTCCCCCATGCCCTGTGCGCCGCAGGATGCAGCCAGGGTAGCCCTGGGGACCTCCCCATTCTGGAACGTCTGCTGGTTCGTGCAGAGCTCAGAGAAGCCATCAGGGTGTGACTTAGGTCAGCGCCTGCCCTCAAAGTGCTGGGGTGGGCGCGGACCCACCTCCTGCTTCCTCCCTCCCCAGTGAGTGGCGTTCCCTTCCTAGCTCCCCTCCAGCAGGATGGCGTCCCCGGAGCAGTGAGGACCCACCCGCGTCCAAACACTGGCTGTGGCCTCGGATACCCCCACCCAGTGTTCCCTGACCTCCTGGGCTGACCTTGTCCACTTGCTCTAGGCGGGCCCGCAGCTGCTTTTGGAGGGAGTAGAGGGTGGAGAGCGAGAGGGCCTCCAGGTCGGAGAAGGCGGGCAGGGCCTGCGGGTCGGGCCCTGAGTGTAGCCGCTCTAGCTCCTCCCGCAGCTTCTGCACCTGCACCTCCAACGCGTCCCGCTGCTCCTGGGCCAACTCACACTCGGCGCCCGCCGCACTGGCCCGCTCACCAGCCTCCTCTGCCTCCTTCTTCCAGGCATCACAAGCCTGTGGGCCAAACACGCAGCACCTGGTCACGGTGGCCCCTGCCCCCCTGTCCCCTGGGAGCGGAGCACTGGGAGCCTGTATGAGCCACTGTGGCTGCGGGGCCTGCTGGGGAGCTGGGTCAGCTGTCTGGGGAGGGGGCAGGGAGGAAGCTGACGCTGCCTGCAGAGAAGGGAGGTTCAGGACCTGCAGGAGACCCTCTGTGGACAGGGAAGGGGGCTGGGCCCGGAACAGCTGCCCCTCGACAGAGGGCCCATCTCAGAACCTAGAACCTGGACGCGAGCCCTGGAGTCAGGGCTTCTTAGGAGAGCCCAAGTGGTGCTGGGACCAGACCACGTGAACAGCTCAGAGCTCCAGGTCTGGGGCACCAGCCACCCAGGCTCCTGCCGGGGGAAGGAGAACAAAACCAAGTTTCTGCTCTGTCCTCCAGGGACCCCGGCCTCCCACCCCCCGTGCCCTGTGTGAGGGACACAAGCTGGATGCCACCAGGCCCTGGGGAGGGTGGGCGTGGGGGCCCGTACCTGCTTGGCCTGCTTCCAGGACTCCTCCCACTGCTTGATGGTACTGTTCGCTTCCTCGAGCTCCTGCCGAAGCCGGGCCAGCTCGGCAGCCCCGGGTCCTGACAGGAAGGCAGGGGATGTGCCCGGGGAGAAGCTTCCAGAGGCAAAGTGCTCCCAGATGCTGCTGTTCATGCCGTTCAGACCTGCCCCAGGGAGGGGAGGAAGTTCAGTGCTCTGGAGGCCCACCCGGCCCTGCCAGGGCTCCCGGGGCCTCGGTGCCAGGCTCTGCCAGTGCCAGGCCGGAGAGTCTGGTGGGGACCTGTAGGTGCTGCAGTTGGGTCAGACCTACTGTGATGCCACCTGCTACTTATCAGCTGCCACTTAAATTGTGAGTCTCAACATCCTCATCTGCAGGATGGGGTGACTCGGCCCTGGGGCGCGCTGCAGGGAGAGCAGCCTGTAAGGTGCTCATTGGTGGTGGTGACTTCAGACTACACGGAGGGAGCCTTCATGCGCCCGGGGTGAGGGCCGGGAGGGGCGTCAGGGGAAAAGACAGGCCAGGCCTCAGATGACAGCAGAGCTGCGGAGCAGGAAGAGCCAGAGCCCGCGGCCACCCCCGCTTTATGGCAGGAAGTGGAGGCCAGGACACAGGCTGCTTGACTCCCACGGCCTCCTTTCCAGTCTGCCAGGCGGCCCACTCACGCTCCTCACCCACTCACCTGTCCCCCAGACACTGGCTGACACTGTGTGCCCTGCTCCGGGCCCTCGGGGCAGCCCTAGCCTCCAGAGCAGGACCCACAGCCACCTCTGGCCTCATCCTGCCCCCATTAATCTAGGGACTCCTTTCTTGCCTCCTTTCCCACGAATCCAGCCAGGATTTTCTGGAACCAAATGGATTTAAGACAGTGTCCTCCAAGCAACACCAGTGCACCCGCAACATGACGGCGTGTCCTGTGTGGAGACCCCGCCGTGTCAACTGGCTCAGAGCCCAGCTGCCTGCCCGAGGCGGGGACCAGATCACTGCACCGACACACACCAGCAGCAAGCGCTGCCCGCCTCGCCCCACGCTCGGCGCACTGGCTCTCTCGGAGAGCAGCCACTCCTCAGAGAGGGCCCTCTTTTTAAAATTTTTTTATTTATTTAATTTTTTCCATCACCATTCATCTCCCCTATACCCTCCCCCTCC